CAGCACTCAGGATCTACATGATGCATAGTAAACAAGAAATCATTTTTAACGAAGAGGTAGTTTGGCTGAGAGGAAAGAGATGAAACCTAAAGGAAATGGCTGACTCTCCAGTGACACATAAATGTTGCAAAATGACCTCAGGACAAGTAGAAAAATGCCACAAACATCATAGAACGTTTTGGAAATATGATTATGCCATTAAAGTAGGAATCACCATCTGGATTACATAGAATTCTGGTAACCTTTATGTAATCCCAAGGTAATTATTAAACTAAACTTAACAGTATAAAAGGATGCAGGATCTCTATATCTAAATATAATAATTACAAATAAAATACTCAGAAAACAGACTAAAGAATGAATTTATTGTGGTTGTGTGTATAAAAATTCTAAATAAAGTAGCATAGTCAATGTGTTGAATCGGCTTTTGTTACCAACAAAATACCTGAAATAGCCTAACTTTATGCTCACAGTTTTGAAAGTTCAAGGGTATGACACTGGCATTGACTCAACTTTGGCAATGGATTTGCTGGCTGAATCCTGAGGTGACACTGGGCATCATATAGTAACAAACATAAAGCTTACGTGTCTGTCTCTGTCAGTGTGTCTGGTCTTTTTCCCTTTTATTGGTTAGCAACCAGCACTCAATCATGAGGTACAACCCTCATGATCTTATGGAAACTCGGTCACCTTCCAAAGTCCCACCTGTAAACACCATAGTCAGATTGAGTTTCTACTGTCTTAACACCATTAACATAAGAACTTAGGGATTAAACGCCTGTATAGAATTGGACAAAAAAATACTCAAACCATTGTAATTAGATTATTAATATATCAGAACACTACAACCATGACTGAGCAGGATTTATTGTAGGAATGTGAAGTTCCTTAAGTATCTGAAAACTGTCAACTTTAGTCATCCTAACACCAGATAAAGGAGGGAAAAATAGTGGATTATATCACTGGATGCCAACAGGGGATATAGATACTCTAGATAGTTATGAGTAACTCATTCATTCATTCATTCATTCATACATTCCTGTAAAAGATGTTTATCTAGGAGTTTCTCGGTCAGGCGTTGTGAGGGTAAAGTGAAATAGTACTTTGGAGCTCCTAGCTAATGAGGGTGGATAGGCAGATGAATAAATACCTTCCTTGGGGACTGTAGAAAAAGTATATGAAGAGCCCAGAGAAGGACTTCAGTTGCTCTTCGTGGGGAAGTGTTCACAGAGTCACATATTTGATCTGGAGCAACATGAAAACATGAGTAGAGAGTAAAGGGAGGGAAATGGAATGGTTGATGGTGGGTACAGCATGAACAAGAATCCTGTAAATACATTATAAATTCAAGGACTGGTGTCTGAGTCACTGCAGATGAATGGCAAGAGGATTGGATGTGAAAGGTCGGGCCAGCGCCGCGGCTCACTAGGCTAATCCTTTGCCTTGAGGCTCCGGCACACCGGGTTCTAGTCCCGGTCGGGGTGTTGGATTCTGTCCCAGTTGCCCCTCTTCCAGGCCAGCTCTCTGCTGTGGCCAGGGAGTGCAGTGGAGGATGGCCCAAGTACTTGGGCCCTGTACCCCATGGGAGACCAGGGTAAGTACCTGGCTCCTGCCATCGGATCAGCGCGGTGTGCTGGCCGCAGTGTACTGGCCGCGGCGGCCATTGGAGAGTGAACCAATGGCAAAAGGAAGACCTTTCTCTCTGTGTCTCTCTCCCACTGTCCACTCTGCCTGTCAAAAAAAAAAAAATGTGAAAGGTCATATGCAAACTGATAATTGACCAGAAAGGAGCTTGAGGCATCTCCTTGGGTGGACAGGATCCTATCACACATTTGTGGTGATGGGGATAAGGGAAATGACTATGGGGACAGTGATTTGCATATTGATGTTGAAGTTTTCATTTTTTTATACTTTCCCAGAAGTTGCCTGTTTCTTTATACCTATGGCTTATCTGAAAAGGCCAACATGCCACAGTGTATCAGTAACATGGCATTGGTCTGGAAATACACCATTTTTGCTTTAAAAACCACTGGATCTTGTGTTAACTCATTTTATGAAGTTTCTATTTTGGATTTATGGAAAAGTTTCAAGGACAGTATTAGTTTTAAAAAGTACAATTTTTATAGTGCAAATGTGCATAGTACATTGAAACTGCAAGCCTTTATTTGATCCTACTTATTCATCACTTATATTCACATTAGTGATGTTGAAGGCAAAACAGTAACTTTTGTCCCCATTTAGTAGCAGACTAAGACTCAATGAAGAACAAATAAAATTGGAATTTCTCAACACTGAGAGATGAGCCTGGTTTTGATATTTTAAGAAAATATATCCTCGGCCGGTGCTGCAGCTTACTAGGCTAATCCTCCGCCTGCAGTGCCGGTACTGGGTTCTAGTCCATTTGGGGCACTGGATTCTGTCCCAGTTGCTCCTCTTTCAGTCCAGCTCTGCTGTGGCCCGGGAAGGGAAGGCAGTGGAGGATCGCCCAAGTGCTTGGGCCCTGCACCCGCATGGGAGACCAGGAGAAGCACCTGGCTCCTGGCTTCAGATCGGCACAGCGCTGGCCGTGGCAGCCATTGGGGGGTGAACCAACGGAAGGAAGACCTTTCTCTCTATCTCTCTCTCTAACTCTGCCTGTCAAAACAAAACAAAAAAAACATATCCTCAGATAATTCAAATGTGCAGCCAGATTTAAGAACCATGAGTGAAACAAATATTCATTGCTTGCTTTTCTATATTGGTTTTGTGCTAAGCATTAATGCTGATTTAGTGGTGTGTACAATATGGTCCTTGCCCTTTCAAAGAACTCACAATTTACTATGTTCACAATATGCATAAATAAAAGGTATAGGAGAGGAAAAGAGAAGAAGGGCCCTGTGACTAGAGGGAAAAACCAATATCATCATGTCATCACTGGCGTCAATAACGTGCACTGATTCCCAATCTATAGTCTTCCCCTTGATTGATGTTTTCCTGTTCTATTGAGAACACTACACCTCCAGCTGTTTTCCTCCATGCAAGATGGCCTTATAAGTTCCAGTGACATTCTAGGATAATAGAAGCATTCCTTCCCCCCTTTGCCTTTGCACCATATAACATACATAAAGTACTTTAATGTGTTCTCATTGATTACCATAAAAACTCTGTAAGGAGGACAGTATTTTTTTTTTGACAGGCAGAGTTAGAGTGAGAGAGAGACAGAGAGAAAGGTCTTCCATCCATTGGTTCACCCCCCAAATGACTGCTACGGCCGGCACAATGAAGCCAGGAGCTAGGTGCCTCCTCCTGGTCTCCCATAGGGGTGCAGGGCCCAAGCACTTGGGCCATCCTCCACTGCCTTCCCAGGCCACAGCAGAGAGCTGGACTGGAAGAGGAGCAACTGGGACAGAATCCAGTGCCCCAACCGGGACTAGAACCTGGGGTGCCGGTGCCATAGGCAGAGGATTACCCTAGTGAGCCGTGGCACCGACATTTATTTATTTATGTATGTATGTATATATGTATTTTGAGGATAGGATTTTTTTAATTTCAGCTTTGAGGGAGTGGAGATATCTGAGATGTGGAAGAGGTTCAAGGTCATGCCACTCATCCACAGTGTGGGTGATGTTACCACCCCGGCGACACTGTCTTGCCTCTCTTCCTCAACCCTATCTATTGCTATGGCCTTCATTTTTCCATGCATTTCCTGTACTCTTTGTCCTTACACACATCTGGAGGTAATCATGTAACCCTCTTAATTAATTCAGTTCAATTAATAAATTGCTAGGTGGATTTGGGCCGGGGTGGGGGGGCAGGTGCAAGTTACCTTCCGGGCCTTTGCGTGCTAGAGAGCTCTTATAATCAGGCTTGGAGAGCCCTCCTCAGAAGCAGTCAGCCAGGCTCATCCTCAGCAGGCAGGCTGTCTGGAGGAGTGATTGGCCTACTCTGGTGAAGGAGTCATTATCTTCCTTTCCTAAGCACTGTATACAGCTTGCACAGAATAGCACGTGGGTTGGGTTGGTTGTCTCCTCCTGGTTAGATTTGCAGGAAGGTCCAATGTAGTATCAGTTATGCACAGCTGATGGGCATTTTGTTGTTGCTGCTGTTGTTGTGCAGGATGGGTCTCCATATTATCAGTGCTCAGCCTCCTATTCTTTGGACACTAAGTGCCAGGAATTATCCTAGGCATTGTGGAAACCCATGAGTCCTCCTACCCCATTTCCAAGTGCCCCTGAGTAAGGACCAGAGCTGCTTCTGCATGTGAGTCCTTTTGAAGTACCCTGCCAAGCATCTGTTATTTCCAAAATAAAATCTTAGTGATTCCTTGAAGCCTAGAGAATTAATTTAAATTCAGGTGTGCATGCAACGCTGTCTTGGCTTTGACCCTATCTCATGTTTTAGTTCTTTTGCTAACTGCTCTCTCCTACCTGCCCTGTAGCCGAACTAGCCACAAGTGCTATGTGTTTTTCTGCCTATGTGACATTGTTCAGGCCTCACCTTTGTGCAATATTTAAGTCCAATCTGAAAGTTTTCTCATCAGTGAGGTCTTGTTAGTTCTGCCTTCAGTAAAAAAACGATCTTGTGTTTTTGTGCATCCCAATAGTACCTTTTTAAAAGCTCACTTAGGTATCTTATCACCTCATTGAGGTATCACCTTTAATTGGTATGGTAATTATTTTAATAGATTTTTTTTTCATAACATGAAAGCTTTTTTCAAATATCGTACCACAGAAACTCCAAGTTAGGAAGTATTTCTTATTCATATCTATTCCTCCAAGAGTGCTGGGCACCACCATAGGTAATTATGGAAATAATGTTTTCAAATTTGAGGAAGTGATCTGCTCCTCTCCTTCCTCCTCCCCCTGAGGATTCCTCTTCCCCTTCTTCTTTCTTCCATTTTTCCTGCATCCTTCGTTTCAGAGAGCTTTATCACTGAATGAGATGAAATGACAATGAAATGGGGTAGGTCACCTTCGTTGCCATCCTTCTTTAAGAATGGTGCTTGTTTCTTTTTATTGTAGATTCTACAACAATGTCTCACCCATCCTGGCTGCCACCCAAAAGCACTGGTGAGCCCCTCGGCCATGTACCTGCACGGATGGAGACCACCCATTCCTTTGGGACCCCCAGCATTTCAGTATCTACACAGCAGCCTCCCAAGAAGTTTGCACCAGTAGTTGCTCCAAAACCCAAGTACAACCCATACAAGCAGCCTGGTGGTGAGGGTAAGTGCCCAGAGTGGGAAACTTCAATGAAATAGTGATCTGTTAGAAAAAGAGAGTTCATTGATTCACTGTGTGATTGTTCTCATTGTTTATGGGCTATCAAAGGTTAAGGAGCTTCAGAAGTTATCTGGAGCAATTCCTCTTTAACAAAGAGAATAAGACCTCCCGGGGATTTATATGCCTGTGGTTACACAGTGGAATTAGAGATTTGGTCTGTTTGTTTATAGCTTACTCAGTGCCATGTTACTGCATTATCCTCCACACCCAGCCTGCTCTCTTCCAAGAGTGAGTTCCTCTCTTCTGCCTTTGAATCAGTGCCTCGCATGGCTCTCAGCAATAGTCCAATGGGAAATCCATATGGAGTAAACCCAATAAGATACCTGAAATATTTTTTTTTTCCTTCTCTGGCTGCCTCTCCTGCCTTAAACTGCTGTGGGATAAAGTTGTCTGGAGAACTCTTTGAGACCTGTCTGTGCTGGAACACACAGATAAATTTGAGGGAAGCCTAGTTCCACAGGTTTTAATAGCCATAAATTCAGTTTATATCAAATGCACTTTGAAGGTCCATGTGAGCCCAACGTCTCACATGAATGTGTATGCATACTCATTAAACCCCACGGGCAGTATAAATGGTGCCAGACTCTTAGGTTGAGAGATTCCATATTTTTTAACAGTGTCGGCAGCTCATTCACATTTTTGGAGCAGTAATTTACAACCAACAGACAAAAGACTGTTAAATTTCTGGGAGCTGAGAGAGACTAGACACTGAAAGGAGACCGAGCTCCTCTCTCTGTTTTCTGCTCCTATCTCATCTTTTAAAAATAGAAATTATGGTCTCTATGATGTTACCGGTTGCTTCTGCGATGGCATTATATATGTTTGTTTTAGCAATATTTCATGAGACTGTTTCATACTCTCTGACAGCCTTTCTCTTGCTGCAAGAAAATGCTTTACTCTAAGAATTTTAGGATTGATGTCAGAAACTTCACCAGCATCTGGCTTGTGTGAAGTGACCAACACTTAGGGTACTGGTGGAGGGCAGGCATGGTTTGTGCCTTTGAGCTGTGCTGTGAATCTTTGGGCATCCTTTCTCCAGAAAGGGCAACAAGATCATCAGAGAGCTGCCCTGTAAAAACAATAAATGATGCCTTTGGTGCTCTACTAATCTCCATATCAGTGCTTCAGGTTTTATCGCCCTTGAAGGAGATTGCACCTTTGCAATTAATCAAGGACTTAGTAGAACTGGTTTTCATTGACTCATCATTCATTAGGGATTGCAGGCTTTGAGAATGGCATCTGGAGGAGAATCCCTCTTCACAGGGACCAGGGGAGCCATGTGTGTGCTTCTGGTTGTTTTCTCAGCGTTTCTTCTTACTTGCCTTGCAGGGGCATTGTTACTTTGCCTCCTGACTTTGGGGAGAGCTGAAAATGGATGTCTCCTTACTATGAAGGGAATCAACCCGTGGTTACTTACAGTGCAGGGTGCAAACGTGGGAGACAGTGTTCATGGGTAGAACAGCTGAGGCATGCCTGAGGGCCTGGGTGAGGGCAGGTCTTGTAGTGAGGATGACAGCTGTGGCAGAGGGCCAAGGGAAGTGTACAATGATGCCCCTTTTGATTCCTTCCCCCTAGACGCTATGACTTGCACGAAGGTAAACTCCTGATGGCTCCTCTGCTGTGCCATGAAAGCCCATGCTGTGTGTGGTTCACTGTCTCTTATTTTCTAGGAGTGCTGGCATGTACTCTAATTTGTTGTGTACTCAGCAGTTCACAACTCACTGTCCCTTCTTAACATCTCCCTTTGCGTGTTTCGTTGACTGTCAAAAGTCTATTTGCATCACTTTCTCCAAAATGTTGAGATGTGGCCTAGCTCAGAAGTAATCACTCCCTTCTTTGAGTTTCCACAAATACCTTGTTCTATTACATTTCTAATAGCATTGCTATTTCTCCTTACTGTATCCCATATTGCATTACTGTATTACTATTTCTCTTACTGTATCCCATATTGAACATGTAGTATATGCCAGACACTATATTTTTGTTGCTTCATTGTCTTCTCACACAAGCCTGTGAAGTTTGACTTTCCCCATGAAGAAGTGGAAGCTTCGAGAGGGAAGATGGCATTCTCGAGGGTTTTGTGACTTGACTGATATCCAGTCCTGCTAGCCTAGCTTTTCTTTCCAGCCCAGCACGCGTGACACCCAGGCCCCATATTGTGGTGCTACTCCCTGCTTCCCTTATCAGAACACAAGCTTTGCTTCCCCCTTCAAACAATAAGAAACACGGCTTCTCACTTGTCCTTATGTTCCTTGTGGCTCTTATTACGCTGTTGTGTTTCAGCAGGGATGGTTGCACGTGGTCAGATGCTCTTACGGGTGTATGCATATTTGGACGGATGGCGGGTGACTGGCTGGGGGAGTGCTTTGTTCAGTAATGCCTCTCTTGGAGTAAGCACTTTGGAATATTAACCTCCTCATTTTAAGCAACCCCATCTTGCTTTCTGAAGTTTTGGCCATTTTTTGCAATCTGCCAGCATTTTTGTCTCTCTCTGTCTCCCCCTTTCACACTTTTTCAGAAATTTCCCTTTAATATAGACTTTTTTTTTTTGAAAGGCAGAGTGGACAATGAGAGAAAGAGACAGAGAAAGGTCTTCCTTTTTCCGTTGGTTCACTCCCAATGGCTGCTGTGGCCAGCTCACTGCGCTGATTCAAAGCCAGGAGCCAGGTGCTTTCTCCTGGTCTCCCATGCGGGTGCAGGCCCCAAGGACCTGGGCCATCCTCCACTGCACTCCTGGGCCACAGCAGAGAGCTGGACAGGAAGAGGAGCGACCGGGACAGAATCCGGCACCCCGACCGGGACTAGAACCCAGTGTGCTGGTGCCGCAGGCAGAGCATTAGCCTGTTTAGCCACGGTGCCGGCCTAATATAGACATTTTAAAAACAAATATTGGGGAAATGTTTAGAGTTATTTAGAGTTGTTTTATTATGAAGAAGCTGCATCTTCATCTGCTGTATATTATGACATTGGATATTTGTTATAAGTGTAATATTCACTATATATACATATATACACATATATACATATATGTGTATGTTAAATACATATATAATACATATATAAATACATACACAAATACATATAATGTATTCACATATGTACATACATAGTATGTATATACATAAATACATGTATAATGCATATGTAAATGTATATTAAATATGTATAGTGAATATATACACACACACATATGCATATATATGAAAAGAGGGAGGGAGAGGCAGAGAGAGAGAGAGAGAAAGATCCCATCTACTAGTTGACTCCCCAAATGCCCGTGATGGCAAAAACTGGGCCACAGCTGGAGCCAGGAACCAGTAATGCAATCAAGGACTTCCACAAGGGTTATTGCCTCCCAAGGTCCACACTGACTAGAAGCTGGAATCACGAATTGAAGCCAAGAATCAAACCCAGGCAGTCCAATGTGGAATGTACGGGTCTTAAATGCTAGGCCAGTGCACGGTCCTGATTTTCTTTAATCAAAATATTAACATTGCCATTCTATGTTACTCTAAATGCTGTATAATTCATGGTTTTTTTTGGTTGAAATTTTCATACATTTCAAATTTTATATTTGAAAATATTCTCTTTGACCATTTAGAATTTTCTATACCATTAGTGAAATCTACAGAGAGAAAGTAACCTAGGTTTTATTTGCAGAATGAATTGATGAAAGCAAGGTTTTATAATGTGTGAACTCACACTGTTCTTTGCATTTAGTGCAATCTTGTCCCGCTCCTACAGTCTTATTTTAATTGCTTGAATGCTGACCTGTAAGAAACTCAGCCACTAAGACTGAACATTTGAATAGAAATCACACAAGCCCAGTTCTTCTGCTGTCACTGTCAGAACTGCTGTCCAGAGAGTGTGTGCTCTTTGCTCAGAGGTACACAGTGTGCTCAGAGCAGAGTGTGGTACTGAACAGGGCCAGTGCTTAGCCATTATTCTTCAGGTCCCTTCTGCCTAAGTTTCCCATTATTCAGGACCGTGAGTAACCTCTAGTGATGACTGCTTTTTACTTCTCCTTGTCTCATTATGCATTGTGTACAGTTGTTATCACAATATGCCCTTTAATAGATTTGCTTGTATTTGAGCTTAGTTTTAAGTTTTGAACTTTGAGTTTTCTGTTGCAATAACAGAAAATCTCAGTCTGAGTGATTTTTTTTTTTTTTGACAGGCAGAGTGGACAGTGAGAGAGAGAGACAGAGAGAAAGGTCTTCCTTTGCCGTTGGTTCACCCTCCAATGGCTGCCATGGCCAGCGCGCTGTGGCTGGCGCACTGCGCTGATCCAATGGCAGGAGCCAGGTACTTCTCCTGGTCTCCCATGGGGTACAGGGCCCAAAGACTTGGGCCATCCTCCACTGCACTCCCTGGCCACAGCAGAGAGCTGGCCTGGAAGAGGGGCAACCGGGACAGAATCCGGCGCCCCGACCAGGACTAGAACCTGGTGTGCCAGCGCCGCAAGGCGGAGGATTATCCTAGTGAGCTGCGGCGCCGGCCCGTCTAAGTGATTTTTAAAGACAAGAGGTTTATTTTCAGCCATGGTTCTGGAGGCTGGGAAGTCCAAGAGAATGGCACCTGTTTCTGATAAGGGCCTCCTGCTTCTGCAGCTCCTGTTGGAAAGCAGAAGGGGAAGTGAGTGTATGGGGAAGAGACAAAGCACAAGAGGCAGCCTGGCTGTAACACATCCAGTTGTTCAAAGAACTAAACCACTCCTGTGAGAAAGTCAATATTAGTTGCTCTTAATGACCTAATCCCCTCTTAAAGGGCTCACATCTCAGCACCACCACAATGGCAATCAAGTTTTAACATGACTTTTAGAGGGGACAAACCACCTTCAACCTACAGTATAAACCTCTCTCCCAAGAGTCCTGGAACTTTAGGGGGTCCCAGGCTGACTGCTTAGTTTTAAGTTTCTATTAGCACATTTGCACCTAACGGGATAC